TTATTTTTCTTTATATTTTGGATTTATTATTTTTTATTATATTACAGTATTGTCATAATTTTTATATGAATCTTTTGGGGTTGTGGAATGAATAACCTGAGTTTTCATGATTTCTTATGGGGAAATTTGCTTTGATAGACAAGTACTTGGGATTACAAACATGTTTCCGGAACGAATTATGCTCCCAAAGCAAGGTTTTACTGTATTGGGCATAGAAGTCCACTGACACTGGAGAGGAGAAAGAATGGGGGATTTTCGCTGTTTTAAAACACTTCTGATTTAGACAATTGTGGGGGGAAAGGCACGGAAAACTTTTTCTTTAAACTTTTAACGACTTTAACTTTAAAACTATTACTTGTTCTTTGTTATTTTAAGCATCCTCCAGTGGCCCACCCTCCCCACCAAACCAAGTACAGATCAAGTACTTTATTTGTGGGAAGTATCCTTTTGTAACCTTTTCCTTACTATCTCCTCACCACAAATCTATTTGCTTCCAATATCTGGGAACACAGACTGAAAAATAAAAGCTTCAATGACCAGAGACCTCTCCCTAGGTACACATCAGTAAATTTTCATGTGTTCTTTCAGGATGAACTGTTTTCTTCTCAACACTTGCCCAGCTAATAAAACCATAAGAAAGTCAAACACAGAGCACTAAAACATCATCTACTTGGGTTAATTAGTAACTATGCACAAAGCAGGCAAGAAACCAAACAGAAATTTAGAGTCCCATCTTCACATTCATTATAGTATTCTCTCTCATTACGAAACATTGGAAATACGCCATGTGTCCATTAACAGATTAATTTTTCAATTATGATAAATCCTCCTATAACATGTTGTAGAATTTAAAAGTGTTTTTATTTACTGACATGATACTGACGTTTATATAATCCCATGCTGTACAGAAAGACTTTCTGCTTGTGAATACATGTTTTATGCAAGGATGTATGAAAGAATGGGAAAGGATACAAACCAAAATGTCAGGAGTGGGGGTGCCTGGGTGGCTCAGTCCGTTAAGTGTCCGACATCAGCTTAGGTCATGATCTCTCAGTTCACGAGTTTGAGTCCCGCGTCCAGCTCTGCACTGACAGCTCAGAGCCTGGAGCCTGCTTCGGATTCTGTGTCTCCCTTACTCTCTGCCCCTCCCCTGCTCTACTCTGTGTGTGTATCTCTCTCTCTCAAAAATAAATAAAACGTTAAAAAAATTATTTAAAAAAACATTTTAAAAAATGTCAGAAGTGGTATACTTTGGGTACTGAAAATGATTTAATTAAACTTGTCTTTTTCAAAGAAAATTTTGTTCATTATTGCTCTACAGTGATCACATACTACTTGTATAATTCGTAGTCAATTACAAAGAGAACAGAAGTTTCAGTCTCCAATAGAAGAACAGAATGACTGAATCATAGGGGACCTCCTAGGCTTGTGATGTGGTAGAAAGAAGTGCTTAAAACAAGCTGACTGAAACGCCAAACTTCCATCACCTTGCCAGATCACTAGGGCCAAGTCCCCTCACTTCATTCCTCATTCAATATTTACTGAGGTCCTTTAGATAATGAGACCGTGCTGGACCATGGTGATGGAGAGGACTCTAGAGTCTATGGCCTCCCAGAGTTTATGATCCAGGAGGAAGAAAGATTAAACATATTTACACAAATAATTATCAATTAATGTTGTGACTGGAATGCGAATGTGGCCTGACAGAGTGTTTTCCTTGCCTCCACCCCCAATTCAGTGACCCCCATCTGTAAAATGAGAAAGGTATATTCTAGGCAGAGTTGCCCTCCATGAGTCAGTCTTTAGGGTGAGATCAAAAAAGCCTGGGAAGAAAATCAAAACAAATATCTGCCTGGTAGCAAACTGAGAAACATGCATAAGGGTAAAGGTAAAAGTGGATGAGCAAAGAGGTATGCTAAGGGGCAGAAAAACTTTGGGGATGCTCTATTTCTTAATCAAATTCAATTTACTTTCAAGTTGGGAGGAAAGCTCCATCTACCTAAGTCTGTTACCTAACTAACCCTTTAGGAAAGTTACCATGCAAAGGAACAAAAAAAGTATGTGGAGGGGAAAAAAACAAAACAAAAACCCTCAAGGTGCAATGTTAAATACTTCTGGTTAACAAGTAACTTGATTTTGTTGTTGTTGTTAAACAAGTTCACCACATTGTCCAAGAATGCCCACCTCCCAGCCAGCTCCCTCAATCTGTAAAGAACCAGCAAAATCCTCAGGGCTACCTCCCTACAGGAACTGTATAAATCAGAAAAGCTATGGGTCATCTATACCTACATTTTTTTTCTTAATGTTTGCACATACTTAGCTTTACTTGAGTTTCCAACTTTAAAAGACAAAGGCAAATCGAAACGTGTTCATTACAGTTTCAACACCTCCTGGTAATTAATAAATGCCTTTATTGTAATGCTGCCCAAAAAAGTTATACAGTGGTGCAAGTTTCAAGTATATACTAGAACACCCTTTTCTGTAATTCCAGAGGCAAAAGAATCACATTCTTCAATCTAATTCAAGTTGACAGTGATTTGCTCCTTTACAAAATTCATAGGGAAATTTAAACCTCCCTTTTGAGACTACCCTGACAGCTACAAACAGCCGGGCACCCGTTAGCATCACAGCAGCTTGATCTTTGGCCAACTATCCCCCACACCCTCAGAAGCCTGCTCAGCAGGGGAGATCCCGCCCCCAGGTGGACAAGTTGGAGCACACCCGGTGCAGGACACCTGCGGAACCCGGCAGCCCTGCACAAGCTGGCACCTGAGCACCGCCGGGACGGCTCCTGTGCTGTTCCATTCCCGGAGCGGGCAGCCTGGGTCACACAGACCTCAATGGCGGCCCAAATAGGTTCCGTGTGGCATATAAAGGCCCGGAAACCCAGGGCCGCAGTAAGGTCACCTAGTCGAATAAATGGCAGGGTCCAAGAAGTTCCATTTGTAAAATCCGCGTGACGCCCAACTGGCCTAAAACTCCAGGCTGAGTGCTCAATACCCCGAAAACCCAGCGGGGTCCGGCCCTTCCATACCCGAGCCATCCACCGTGCCAGAGGAGCTTCGGACTCCAGGACGGTTTCGAACTACGGGAGCCGACCCCAAAGAGGGGGCTCCGAAAGTTGAGGAGGTCACAAAAAGCGAGGAAGAAGTTTCCCAGGCCTCGGGCTCTCACCCATTCCACACCGCTATGAGCCAACTAAGTCTAAGAGGTCCTGCCACCAGCGTGCGAAAAGCGCCTTAATGACTGAATGTTTACAAAGAAGCCAACCCTGGGGAGGGGAGGCTGAGCCCTCTAGGTACCCTTTAGACGCAAGCACTCCGTTCCCTCCTCTTCCTCCGCGGACTTCAGTCTCTCCCAGTTGTTCCAGCCCAGTGCTCTCCGGCGCAGCGATCCCCACTAAAGCCTCCGAGAGGAGGTGCGAGAAGTGGTGGCCGCGGCAGCAAGAGAACACCTTTCGTGCACCTGCCCAGCTTCCACCACCAATGCATGTGCCTGGGACCCCTGGCTCTTTAGCTGCAGGAGCGCTCCTTGACCAAGTTTCTCACCTTGGACGGTGCGATTGCAGGAAGCAGAGGCCGCCAGCAGGATGGCGCCCCCCAGCAGCCACACCGCGCTCAGGCTTCGCATCCTTCCTGCAGCCCCGACGCCAGGCGGGCAGGGCATTCGCCGCCAATGATTCGAAATTCGGAGTCCCACTCGCCGCTCCAAGAGAAAGCCACCGTCTCACCTGCCCGAATCCAAGCCTCTGCGCTCGCCTCCCCGGAGACGGATGAGTTTCAGTGAAACCGGAGCGTCTCCGCGCACCTGCGCGTGGCCCCGCCCCGGGGCCGGAACGCGGGGCTCGGCCCCGCCCCTTCGGACGTCCGACGCGCGCGTCCGGCCCCACGCAGTCTTGCCAGGAGCCCAGGCGCCCACCTACGCGCTGCAGGTGCGAGAGCTGCTGTTGGGGAGGGTGCGGGAGCCGCCCGCGGGCGGGGCTGGGAGGGTGAAGTAGCTGTATTGGAATGCAAAGGCCGGAACGCTCGGACCTCGAGTTCTTTTAGACCTGGCCACGCCTAAGACTACCATTACCCTTTAATTACTCCTGGGGAGCCAGGGTCCGGTCTCCTTCCCTCCCCTTTGCTAAATGGAAAAAAGCCACGGTCTGAGCTCACTGACTTTGTCGTCGGTTATTGGTAGAAGCTTCTCAGCGTAGCGGGCACTAAGGGGTAAGGGGTGAGTTTTTAATCTGCAGAGACAACATGGATGGCTTCGGTCACCAACAAAGCGGTGGGGAGCAGGAAGGGGTCCCGCCAGGGGGTCAGGGATCTGGAATTGGGTTTCCGGCTCTGCTGTTAACTAGCTGTGACCTCGAAAAAACCTCTTCACGCCCTTCTAGGCCCATTTTCTCGTCTGTGAGGTGATAGTTGGAAGAGCTGCTTTAGTGCCTAGAGCTAACGATTTGGAACATTATCTAGTTTAACCCCGACAACAAGCTGCGCATTAAGTATGTTTATTATTCCCATTTTACAGCTGAGGAAATGGAGTTTAGAAAGGCTGGATAAATTGCCCACAAGTACGCAGTTTATAGGTACAGTTTGTAAACGCACGCCACATTTAATCTCCAGTCTACGACCGCCACTTTCTATTAGTCACTGCACTGTAAATGCCACATCAGAGTCTCCCCTGCATTGGGAGCTAGTAGTCCAAAGAAATAAATAAGCTGATAGAGGGGGTGGGGAGAAAAGGAGTGAGACTTTGGGGATGGGTGCACAAGGGCCAGCATCATACTGGTAATACTTTCTTATATTTTTTACTTGCTTTGAAAAGGTAAAATAAAGTTTAAAGCTACCAGCTAAACTATCGGGTAATGGAGGAGCAGAAAAGAGAAACATTAGTGTTGTCCTCAGATGTTTGAAGGATTAGCTCATAGAAGAGGCTTAGACAGGTTTTGAGTAGCTCCAGTGGGAGGCTGGTTTTGGCTCAATATAGAAAGATTTCTAACAAGTCCCGCTGGTACCGTCCTGAGAGCTTCCTGCTGAGGTTAAGGGCCACATCACTGCCGGACTGCACCAAAGGACCAGGCCATGAGTGGAGTATGCAGGAGTGGGGAGTTCCCTCCCAGGCTGAGGGGCCAGATTAGGTGAGTCCAGATAGCCTCTTGAGGGGTTTGAGCCCGGAGAATCCTCCTTTCTCCTTAGAAGACTAAAGTCTGATGAATCAGTTGTCGGTGATTATTATGAATTTTTGAAGAACCATGAACCAAATGGCCACAGACCTGTGAGTTTCTAGGATGGAGCTTATAAATGATCAGGGCCCTGTGCAGCCTCTAACTGAACCCACCATGGGGCCAATTAACAGAACTAATGTGGATTCCAGATCATTCAGGCAGACAAAATTGTGTAAAATGTCATCTTAGCCAGTTGTCTCAAGCATATCCCCAATACAACATTTCCCCAAAGTTACCTACATGGATGGTTAGCTTTCTGCCTCTTCCCTCTGTCCTGGCAGAGGATCTTGTAGGAGTAGGAAAATAAATGGTTGAAAACGAAGAGAAGCAAATGGTCCTGAACATGCCATGAGAATGGAATAATTGGTCCCTGAATAACAGGAACAGACTGGACTGCCCCTCAACACACACAGAGCCAAGAATGGCCAGGGAAAGCTGTCCAGCATTCTTTGTAATGACTGCCTTTCAGCAGCGCATCTCTAAGGAATCTCACATTGTTGTCTCCAGTTCTTTGGGGAATGTGCAAAAAGCTTAACCTTGAAATCATGTAACTCTGTGGGCACATTCTAGTTTCTCCCCTTGCTAACATTGGTGTGACGTTAGAGAAAAATAACTTCCCCTCTTTGAGCTTTAGGTTCCTTACCTATAAAATGGAGTTAATGCTTTTTTAGTTTCAAGGTTCCTGAGGATTGGGGTGCCGGGGTGGCTCAGTCAGTTAAGTGTCTCATGACTCCAGGATAACAACCCCAGCCGGATGCTCCACCGACTGAGCCACCCAGGCCAGGTGCCCTCCTGTGATTTGTTTTTTGATGTTGATGACTTCTTTGCCCTGAAGGGCTTAGGGTGTAGTATGGTGCTGTGGAAGAGTACAGAGATGATAGGCACAGCCAGTTCCAGATAGACTGGCTGCCAAAGATTGGAAACTGTGTGCAGTTTCCCACACACTACAATTCTAAGGAAAATAAAGTAGGAAACGGGATATTGAGGGACATTGAGGGAGAAACCATTTTCATTCAGTCAGTTCTACAATCATTTATCAAACTCATCAAACTCTTCCTGGAGAAGCAAAGATCTAGTCCTTGTACTCTTGGGTCCTGGCCAAATATAAATGGTGAGGGAAGCCTGAGTGGCTCAGTCGGTTAAGCGTCCGACTTCGGCTCAGGTCATGATCTCACATGTGAGTTCGAGTGAGCACTGCATCTGCCTCTCTGCTGTCAGCATGGAGCTGGCTTCAGATCCTCTGTCCCCCTCTCTTTGCCCCTCCCCTCCACACTGGCACTCTCTCAAAAATAAGTAAATATTTTTAAAAAATTTAAATATATGTGGCAAAAAAATTCCCATTCATTCACTCCTTCATTCAGCAAACACTCTAGACAAGGCTAGCAGTGACCTTCACGTGGTGAATCCTTTGCTCAAATGTGTATTCACATTACTTAATCTAACTGTGAGATTTGACCCAGTTGAGTTCTCTCTCCTTGAATGCTATATTCACTTGGCCTCCAGGACCACTCTTGTCTTGATTCTCCTCCTACTCACTGGCAACTCATAAGAGGTTTTTTCTTTGATTCTCACCTTCCTGAATTCTACACTCTGGAGTGCCCCTGATTTTGTCCTTAGGCTTCTTTTCAATATACACTCATTTCCTTTGGTGATCTAATCCAGTCCTGTGGTTTTAAATACCATCTCTATGCCGACCACTCCCAAGTCTGTAATTCTAGCCCAGTTTTCTCCATTCCACACACATAACATATGCCTCCAGCTACTCAACACCTCCACTTTAATGTGACTACAGATATATCAGGCAGGCATAAGTCCCGATCTAAATTCCACATCTACCTTGCCCCTGTTAGAGTTTTTTCATCTCCTTAAATTGCCACTCCATTCTTTCAGTTGCTCAGATCAAAAATGTTAGAGTCGTCCTTGACTTCTTTCTCATGTTCCACATCTGATCTGTCAACAAATCATACCTTGAAAATACATCCAAAATTGCATTCAAGTTATTTTGTTACTTAGATTATTACAATAGCCTTGTAACTCGTCGCCCTCTTTTTGTCTCCAACCCTCCACACAGTCCTCTCTCAATATAGTGGTCAGAGTGAACCTGTTCAAATGTGCATCAGATCAGATCACTTCCTTATTTAAAATACTGAAGTAGCTCCCCACTTCCCTCTGAGTACAAACCAAAGTCTGTCAAAAGTGTATACATCCTGCTTTCCTCCCCCCTACACACACACACACACACACACACACACACACACACCCTTTTACTTCATCTCTTTTATTTCCCTTGCTCATTCTGCTCCAGCCGTGCCTGGAATACTTTTCCCTCAAACACCTACATAGCTTCAGTCCTTACTTCTTTCAGGTATTTGCTACAACTCTATCTTCTCAGTGGGGCTTTCTAAGAACTCCTTATTTAAAATTATACTCCTTGGGGGCACCTGGGTGGCTGAGTTCGTTAAGCGTCAGACTCTTGATTTTGGCTCAGGTCATGGTCTCACAGTTGTGTGGTTTCCAGAGAGCCCTACATCGGGCTCTGCACTGACACTGTGCTTGGGATTCTCTCTCTCCCCCCCATCCCTGATCCTCCCTTGCTCACACTCTGTCTCTCAAAATAAGTAAATAAACTTGAAAAAATAAATAAAATAAAATTATACTCCAGGTGCCTGGGTGGCTTAGTCAATTAAGTGTCTGACTCTTGATTTCCACTCAGGTCATGATTTCACGGTTCATGAAATTGAGCCTCCCATGAGGATTCTCTCTCTCTCCCTCTCTCTCTGCTCCTACCCTGCTCACGTACTCTCTTTCAAAATAAATGGATAAACATGAAATGAAATGAAATGAAGTGAAATCAAACTCCCACCCTATACTCCCCATCCTCTCCTGCTTTACCTCTATAGCATATATCACCAGTATTGATAATCTACATGTATTTACTTACTATCTAGTTCCCCCACTGCAATGCAAGCTCCGTGACTACAGAGGTTTTTTGTTTTGTTTTGTTTTGTTTTTACATTTTAGCTTGTGGAATTAAGATTTAGGAAGTAACATCACCTGGACCTGGCAGGTGCCTCTTACACACACGTCTATAATGTCAAATAATTGTTTCAGTCCCAGTTTAAAGCACTCCTTAGAATACAGGGAGGCAAATGTCTAACCTTTAAAATGTAGAGGACAGGGATTTTTATCTGTTTTGTCTACTGCTGTGTTCCCAGTGCCAGAATAGGGTCTAGCATACAGAAGAGACTCGACATATACTTCTGAATGAGTGAATTTTCATATGCTGTACACCTACTATCTATCATTTTGCTAAAATTGAGAATTGCAAAGATCAGTATCTCTGCTTCTGTTGAGCTGATGGTCCAATGTGAAGAGAGATGCATAATTAAGTCAAGCATTGGGGGTGGGAGTAGCGGTAAGTGATGCATGGTTGAATCACAGAAAGAATGACTCC